CCTCGTACCGAGAAAAAAAAAAAAAAAAAAAAAAAAAAAAAACAGGCATAATTGTGGATTATCTGCTACAAAACTGCTTCCAATTGAAAAAATTTAACAACCTAGATATCCACCAACAGAGGACTAGTTAAATAAATAGTGCTATAGCATATAACAAATTCCATGCAGCAGTTAAAAAAAACTGATGGAGATTTATTTGCGTCAATATGGGAAAATGACCAAAATATACAGTTTAAGTACATAAAAGAAGATGAGGAACAGTATAAATAGTAATGTGCCACTTGTATGTGTATACCAGCTACCTATATGTTAATATATGCATAAAAGAGTACCTAAAAGTATATACATACTCCAACTCTTTGGTGGTGGTTAATGAAAGCTAGACCATGAGGAATTTTCACTTTCTAAATTTCTGGAGATTTTTGCATGAGCATGCTTTATTTTTACAATCAGAAAAAACAAACAAAACCCCTCATTTCTAGGGGAAAAAACCCATCACCAGCAAGACACAGACCCCATTCTGAAAGAGGTTACACTGTAGTCAGGGAACAAACTTACACATGTGATAAGAGATTGTACAAATTAATATCATAGGAAGACAGAGAAGGAAGAATTTCAGTATACTTTTACTATAATATTAAATATTCAAAAATTTTTTCTGGCTTTACAGTAAGATTAGGCATTAAATAAGGTAACCAAACACAACAGAGCCAGGAGTGGTACTTACAGACTGATGCTTGCGACAAAGCCAACCACGGAGCGCATGCTTCTGCTGGGGTCATGGTAAACATCCACCCCAATCACCATTAATTGTTTCTGGGTTAGAAGACAAAAACAAACCAAAATTCCAAGCAACACATCACCCCATCTTTGTTATCTGAACCCCAAAGCAACATATGAAAATAAGTTCTGGGGAAGGAAGAGAAAGAGTGCAATCAACTTGATATTTTTTAAACACTATGAACAAAGTCAGAGATCGTCAAGACCAGGGACTGGCAAACTTTCTGTGAAGGACTAAAAAGTAAATACCTTAGGCTTTGTGAGCCACACTCTGGAGGAACTATTCAATTCTGCCATTACAGCACACAAGCAGCCACAGGTAGTCCATAAAGGAGTATGGCTACGTTCCAATAAAAATGCATTTAAGGACACTGAAAACTGAATTTCATATAATTTTCATGTGTCTGGAGATAATAGTCTTATTTTTTTCAACCACTTAAAAATGTGAAAACCATTCTAAAGCTTGTGGGCTATACAAAAACAAGCAAGGAACCACTCAGATTATAAGCACTGAGAATGAGGAAAATTCTAGGCGGAAAATTAGGAAAATAGCTAGGTAGGACTCTCTGGGATGCTGAATTGAATGAAGACATATCTCAGCATCACTCACCAGAGGAATATCCACTCCCCAGAGCTCACCACCCAATTTACAGTTAATCTGAAGTAAAATTTTCTGGGCCACACTCTGAAGCCTGGTGGGCTGGCCAATGGTTCGGACATTGATGACCTGTAATAGAGGGGAAAGTGGACACGATCAACCTTTCAAACAATGTAAACAATTCTAGAGCAAGTACTACATTTGTTTAAGAAACTCCAGCTGGCAGATAATACACTTTGTACTAACAGTTCTAATTCTAGAGTTTCTAGTCAGGCATGTTGTGTGTGTGCACACACATGACACAAATCAAAACCAAAGAACAACCAGCCAACAAAAACTTTCAACGATCTCATGCAGATTAAAAAAAAATGTAACCTCCGTAGGAAAACCAGCTTTCTCCTTTCAAAGGAAAGCCTATACTCTCAGAACCCAGTCATGTGAAACGACCTGGCGACTCACCTATGAACAAGCAAAAGTGCTCATTTGGGAACATGAAAGCAGCATTTACAAAGAACATCTGCTATTAGCCAGGTTACTGTAACAGGAAAGTTTCACCAGATGGGTCTACATATGCTGGCTTCTAATAGTTACTTTAGTCCCTCTTTTCCAAGCCTCAAGGGAGGCTAGAGTTTCCCTCTGTGCCTCCTGCCCAGTTTCCACTCACTTGCGAGGGCACGGGAGTCTGCACACAGCACAGCTTTTTAATGGCCCTGTAGAGATCGTCACGTGTGCCCATGATGATGCAAACAACCATCTGTATCTTCCCCTTGAGGAGATAAAGTATATATGTCAGGCTTTGGAACTCTGAGCGGACCTTGATAGGGCTCCAGTCAGGGGCAGTTCAAGAGTCTGCAAAGCCACAGGACCTTTAGGGTAAAGAGAGAACTGAAACAAAGATGGTGGACATTCCAACAGAGAAAAAGGTCCTTGAACCTGAGTGAGCATTTGCTGGGTTCCAGGCTTCTTTGCTTAGCTACATAACATGTTACCGTAAGTTACCTAGAGCTGGTCCTGATTACCTGATTAATTTATTAGGACACTTAAGATCCCTGGAAAAGAACCAGGCTTAAAAATATGCAAGGGGCTTCCCTGGTGGCGCAGTGGTTGAGAGTCCACCTGTAGACGCAGGGGACACGGGTTTGTGCCCCAGTCCAGGAAGATCCCACATGCCGCGGAGCGGCTGGGCCCGTGAGCCATGGCCACTGAGCCTGTGTGTCCGGAGCCTGTGCGTCCAGAGCCTGTGCTCCGCAGCGGGAGAGGCCGCAACAGTGAGAGGCCCGCGTACCGCAAAAAAAAAAAAAAAAAAATATGCAAGGGTTTCTTATTAGTTGATGCTTTCGATGCACTATAATGTTTTTTGCCACTCTCTTTAGTAAACTAAGCACCTTATTACATTCATGCCATAGAACTTTAACTAGGAAACATGGGATACAATACCAGAAGAAAGGACTCAGAGCCAAATGCAGAGGAAATGAAGCTACTGCCAAATCCATAAGTAGATCTTCCTAACTTTCTGATTAGGAGAGAGAATGATATTGCCAGAAGAATATCTTATATCGGCATCTTCTACCTCTCACTGCTTAAGAGATCTGACATTAAGAACAGAGGATCCTTCAAAATCTGAATAAAGTAAAGTAGCACACAAGTGAAATAAAGCTGCCAACGCTTTATGACAGAAACAGAAATCAACAGTATACTATTCCAGATCAAGATTAATTTTAAATGAAGACTTCTGAGAGGACACATGTTCCAGCAATCAGATCAAAGATTTCCGAAGTCACGTAGAACATGGGCTGCATGCTGGGAGCCTGTGGGCTGGATCTAGAAAACAGATGTGGTTTTTTAGTCCCTATAATGATTCACAAGTCTTTTAAAAATTAACATTTAAACATAGGTAGGTGTACACATATGCAAATCTAGACTTTTGGCTTCTATTGAAAAATAAACAAACTAAAAATCAATTTGACAATGCTGGGCTGTTATCTGCAGTCATGGGGTTTACTCTCTTTAGTTCCCTAGAGTCCCCTCCTGGCCCACTTCACTCCCATAGACATCTGAGTTTATGACCCTGAAACAAAGAGAATAATAAAACAGAATGCCCTAGAGATGGCAGAGAGATAGCAAGACCAATAGGAGTCAACATTATGAATGAAACTCGTATCCATGCTACATGAAGATAGTTGGCAGTGCACTCTTATAAAGAGAACAGGCCAAGTCGTGAGACGGGGGAGCTGAGGTACTCAGCTGGGTTTTTCTTTTGAAAGCAGGGCAGAATTTATCAATGATCAGGCCTGGGGCAGGCCATGGCAGAGTAAGAAGGCATGGGAAGTCAGGAAGAAAATACAAAGAGAGAACATGAGTGTGCTGCTACAGATGACATACCCAGAGCAGTGGATGAACAGAGAAAGTCATGACTGACGAGTATTCTAGTCAATACTAGAATATTAATTCTAGTATTGCTCTCACAAGAACTGACTCTTCAATTCAAGGACTAGTTATTTCCAAAAACTTTTGATCTGCTTTTTTCCCCTCCTTAATCTTCTTCCTCTGTTTTATGTATGAACAGATAAGAACTGCAGGCCTGAACTACTGAGTTGTGAACACTATGACCTGCTCAGCTCCAGTAGTCCCGTTCGGCTATCTGGACCAAGCTGATGGGCCCACTGCCAAGTTCATCACCGGAGCAATGTGAATCTTGAGTCAAACCAGACTGTAACAGCTCAGTACTGAATCGTGCAAGATGGCACCTGGCCCAGGAAATTGCTTTCTGAGCACAACATGTTCTATATAGATAAAAAATTGAAGTTAAGTCAGCTATTATCTCAGCCAATTACGTGAGGAACAGAACGCTGGAGTGAGTGAGAGTGCCAACAAAGGAGGAGAGAAGCGAAACCAGCCAAAGGGCATAACGACTACTTTGTTAATTCAGTATTTCACATGCACATGAGTAAGATACAGATTCCTGGACATCATCAACAAAAGATCAATAACCAAGATAATTTAAAATCAAGTACTCAAGGGCTTCCCTGGTGGCGCAGTGGTTGACAGTCTGCCTGCCGATGCAGGAGACACGGGTTCATGCCCCGGTCTGGGAGGGTCCCACGTGCTGCGGAGCGGCTGGGCCCGTGAGCCATGGCCGCTGAGCCTGCACGTCCGGAGCCTGTGCTCCGCAACGAGAGAGGCCACAACGGTGAGAGGCCTGCGTACGGCAGAAAAAAAAAAAAAAATCAAGTATTCAACTATTTCAGAATGGATATCCTGAAAATTTACTCAAATCAATTTATTACCTCAACTCCCAGCATGGACTGAATGGTTCTGACATAGGTCTCTATGCGATCATCCTTCAGTTCCACCCAGGCTGGAGGACTCATGCATATGCCAATGGGGCCAGCTACCTTCTCTAACATGTTCACCAGTTCTCGGGCTTGATCCATTGCTCTCTTTGGGTAAAACAGCGCCCAGAAATGCATGGGGACCTAGGAGCAATAACAAGCTATTTTTAGTACTTCCCACAACTTCCCCAACACCCCAACTTCCTATCAGGAGATGTTATTCTAAAGAACAAATTGCTTTTCACTCTCTCTGCTTGAGTCCTGTCTTATCTAATGCTGATTACTAATGCAGATGTGTGTGATAAGTAAATTGTGGCACAGTCTCACAATGGAATACTACACAGCAATGAGAACCAAAGATCTGTAACTATACCTAACAGTATGGAGAAACTTACCAAACAAGGCTGAAGAAATGAAGCCAGACATGACAGAACATATACAGTATGGTTTCATGTATATATTAAGTACAAACACAGCTGAAAAAAATCAATGCTGTCAGAGGTCAGAATAGTGGTCATTCTTGGGTTGGGTAAGGGTGCCAGGTAGGTAGTAATTAGGAGCATGGGGGTGGGGCTTCTGAGGCACTGGTAAAGTTCTGTTTCTTAACCCTCAGTGTTGATTACACAGGTTTATTTAACTTGTGAAAATTCATCAAGTTATATACATAAGTGTACTTTTTCTTTAAATATATTTCAAAAAAAAAAGTTTTAGAAACAAATGTGTGTACTTTATGCACGGCCACAGAGACCAGGTAAGCCAAAAACATTTAAAAATAATTATATACCGGGCTTCCCTGGTGGCGCGGTGGTTGAGTCTGCTTGCCGATGCAGGGGACACAGGTTCATGCCCCGGTCCGGGAGGATCCCACGTGCCGTGGAGCAGCTAGGCCCGTGGGCCATGGCAGCTGAGCCTGCGTGTCCGGAGCCTGTGCTCCGCAACAGGAGAGGCCACGGCAGTGAGAGTCCCGCGTACCGCAAAGACAAAAAAAATACCATTTTGTTCTTTGGTTGCCTTGGTGGGAAACTGTTTTAATTTTATTTCTTTCATGGAAACCCTAGGGAAAAAGAGGAAGGAAAGAGAAAAGAAGAAGGAAGAACAAGGAGAGAGTGGGTAATAGGCTGGCACTGAATGAATCACCACGGCAGTTTATTTCCTTGTCCTAAGTCTATGGTCAAGCAAAGGGCTTCCCTGTACCAACTCATCAACTCACTCTTGTTCAAAGGACCTCTGTTTTGTAAATAATTCAGGATGGGAATTCAGTTGGTACTTCCTCTCAAAAAGAGGACACTAAATAATTCCTACTTCCTAATTTCCACACTTCTAGGAATACTGGAACTCTCTTTACCACCTCATAAGTCACTTACAGTTAAGATGGAAACGTCTCTGGTTACTTCCTTAACCCAGTTTAGTTCCTGAGATGTGATAAATGACGTATTCCTTAAGTTAATTCTTTCCATTGGCAGAACACGTCCTTCAATCTAAACAGAAAATAAAGTGCCTATGACATGAAGCATCTGTAAACACTATTTAGCAAAACGCTGATACTGTTCTGGGGCCTGGTCAACTCTACCATATAGACCTGTCCCTGTCATAACTTCTGAAAATGGTAGAAAAATGCAACTGTTAGCAGTAAGAGTCCAGGTCAGTACAACTCTGGACACACATACAGGTGAATTTTGATAGGTGCTGCTCTTTAATTATTGAAGCTTCCAACATGGTCCACAAGAAAGGAATCAGAAAACACTGTCTCTTTATAACCAGGGAATTCATGTAAAATGCCTATAAATACAAGGTGAACAGGAAAATAATCTTTAAGAATTATTTTAAGGGAAAAATTTAAGTAGAAAATTAGAGAATATTTCTTAATAAGGCTGAACATAAACTACTATTATACTTTATACAAAAGAAAAGCAGGAAAAAAAGCATAAATATAATGAAAGACCAAATTAAAGTTAATAATAATGAATCAATTAGATCTAAATATCCAAAAATAAGAAGATAACTAAGTTGATGACATATCAATATGATGGATATTTGCAATTATTAAAATAACTTTCTAAGTGCATTTAATATAATCCTGTTTCTGCAAAAAATAAATAGTAATGTATGCATTATAAAAACTGAATGAGTCCACATTTAGTAATGAGTATCTCTGGGGGAATATGTAATTATGTAGGATTTTTACTTTTTATGAGCTCTACTCCTTGCTTTCTTAAAAAAGTAACAAAATACTTATTTTACCTATAATCAAAAAAATTTTAATGATTTTCTTAATATTATAAAAGTTTAACACAAAGAATAACAATACCTGTATTAGCAAGAATGTTCACCTTTGCTTATGAAAGTAAAAAACTGAACCTTTCTACAAGGCAGTTGGTAATATGTAATAAAAAGTACTAAAAACATAAATGTCCTCTGACCTAACAATTACACTTCCAGAAATCTGACCATGAAAACAAACATCATGTGCAAAGATTTAGTTACAAGGATGTTCACAGATTCACTATTTATAACAGGAAAATACTAAATTCAATTTGAATGTAAAAGAATAGGAAATTATTAATAAAATGAATATCTGTTAGCCATTAAAATATTTAGAAAAATATTAAATGACATGGAAAAAATATTCTAAATAAACTGAGTAAAAAACAAAACAAAACAGGAAACCATCTGAAAACATGCTGCATGTGATTGTGTGATACACATACACACAGACAAAAAACACTGAAGGATATATACCAAAATGTTAACAGTGTTTATTCTGATACAGCATGATTATGGATAAACTTTTCTCTTCTCTGGCTTAAGTTTTCTGCCTCTTCAAATAATATTTAATAACATGAACACATGTTCAAGATATAATAATAAATGAAAAAGAAGATGCAAAACCATATACAGTTATAAGCACAATTTTTTAAGAAAAGATTCATCCTCACAGAAAAAAAGTTTAGGGAAACAAAATATGTTGAAAATAATATTATCTCTTATGTGTCTAAAATAAATCACTAAGATATCTTTGGGTGATGAAACTACTGATGTTTTTATTTCCTTCTTTACATTTTCTACACAGTACCCACATTTTCTTTATTGACTTTCCATTACTTTTATTTAAAGAAAAAAAAAGAAAAAAGAAAGTTTTTAACAAGGAGTCAATTCAGAGTGCAAGAGAACTAGAGAAAAGATAAAATTAATTATTTTGGTATAACCCAGAAAGAAAATTAAAAGTAATAAAAGCTAATATTTACTGAGCACTTGCTATGTGTCAGACAGTATGCTGAAGATTTTACCATTTAATTTCTTTAACTCAATCATTATCTTTATTTCACAGATAAAGAAAGTAAGAGATACTAAGCAATTTGTTCCAAGTAACTAAGGTGGCAAGTGGTAGAACTGAGATTCAAAGCCAAGGACTTCACCACCACCTCATGCTGCCTCTGCATTATGGCTCACGCTGCACAAAACACAACAGAATGGACTCAAGCAAATTGCAGGCAGAAAGGGCCATGCGAAAATTAAAATGTACAAGTCTGAGACTTTATGCCTACGGAAAGAATGAAAGTAGTATATTCAAAGAAACACAAGTTAATTACTGGGAAAGATAAAGAAAAACTTAGGGGGAAAAAAGGAAAAAGACATAGAGAACTTTAAGAATAATTTGGGTTGGAAAACTAAAAATGAGGTAAATTTTAAGTCAATATTCCTTTTGCTTGACTGGAAATTAACAGCTCAGATCCTGGGAAATAGAAAAGAAAATCTGTAAGAGATACTAGCAAATTAAGTCAAGGAAATTTAAGTATTATGACTAGGACCAAAAAAAAAAGTGTAATTATAAAGCAAAAACTGCAAAATAAAGACAAGATAGGAAGTTATCACCTAGTCTCACAAAGCTCTAAAATCTTTGGTTAATGCTGTTTCCTACCATCATATTTTCTGGTTTACCTTATGTACATCCTTCTGCAGACAGAGTCCCCAACGTGTCAGTTCACTGTTGGCTGTCTCATTTTTTGAAATTCTCTGTAGCAAGCATTTCAAAGCATTATGGTGCTGTTTGGGGCTCAGGTTGATCTGCTGGGTCAAATCCTAAATAGAATCAAAACGGAGATACTAAGTTATTACTTTCTCCAGTATGAGGTTAAATAAACCCTAATGTATAACAAATTTTCATAGAAAACCTCCTTCTCATTGAAATCTATAGAATTTAAAAATATCTCCAAGGACTTCAATAAATATCTCATGAATGTGAATGAAGTATGAGGTTAAAATGTTAACCATTGGGGTTTTTATTGAAATATAGTTGATTTATAATGTGTTAATTTCTGCTGTACGGCAAAGTGATTCAGTTATACATATACATACATACTTAAAAGTAAGTATTTAAAATTGTCACTGTATTTTTCTTATGACATCTAAATCTTATTCTTTTTCTCAAAGCCATGTAAGGGGGCTTGATTACATCTATTTAATATCTGGGGTGGGGGGAAATGCCCTATGCCAGGCATGCAGGCAAACATAATGGAACGGAAAAACACATCCAGTCTTATACTTTATGTCACATGATACTAGCCACTTAATGTCACCGTAAGACACTTGTTAGGTCCAGTGTGTGGCCCATAATAGGTGTTTTCTAAATATTTATTGTTGAATGAATATCTAATAGGTGTGTATGAAGATTCTGAATCACGTAAGTAAGTTCTTTCTTCATTCTTCTGGGACTAATGAACTGTGCAGCAGTTGCTCCCTGTGTGGCAGTCATTAGGGCATTGAGTCTATGGGGCTATACAGATAGCCCCATAGATCATAAAATCATTACATTACTGAGAGTTGTAAGGAAGGAGCCTTGACCTACATACTAAAAGCAGAAGTATCAGAAGGTAAACATGAAAGACATCTCTTAAAGAAATTCATTTCAGCTCTTTACGATGTTACTAAAAACAATATGTGGCATCTGAGACAGGGCCGGGGTTCCAAAACTAGGACAGACAAGGACTGAGAGAGAGGCAGTAGAGCAGTGTGAGGGTAGAAAGCCCCAAGCAGACAGTGTGGAGGTGAAGCCCTTGGGGTCTAGACCCACAATGCTGCAGACATCTCTGCCTCCCAGCTATTTCCTACAAGACTGTGCCCAACATGAGACTTCCAGGACACCCCGAGCCCCACAGCGTAAACTTCTATCCTTTAATTTCATCCTCTCACTTGTTAACTTTTTGCTACATTATCTCCTCCTCCCTTCAAATAAACTGAAGGCTTACAGAAATGTTAAAAAAATACAGTGCTCTCAAAGAACCTCATTTTATGGTCATATGACCAGCTTACAGTCGTCCATCTGATTGGCGAGGGTGATGCCAGAACTATTTGTTTCCTTTTACTTTATAATCCAGTCGTTCTACTATTGTAACAACATTCCAAAGAAAGTTCTGATTGGCTTTTTCACAGTGTGTGGGAAGGGACACAGATTATGCTTTATGTAGAGGAAAAATGACCCTGCCCAGGTGACGTGCAAACCTGGCCCAGTTCTAGCTACATCTGCTATCAAAAAGGTCTTCGGTTCAAAGCAGGCACTTCTCACCTTCATGGCTCTGAAGTCCTTCTTCATCTTCTCAGGGATTCCAGTCATGAATGAAAGCTCAGGCAGCAGCAGGATTTCGCCTTTTAGCAGCTTCGAGGAGAGAACAGAGGGAAAGCAAGGCAATAAAAGAGAATCTTCTTCCCCTGACCAGTACAAGACCTCCCAGGCCCAGAGCTGGTCTTGCAGGTGTATCACTGGCACACTAAGGAACACAAAACCCCAGAGAAGAGGGCAGGACACACTACAAGTGTTTTACCCTTTTCTCCCTCAAGTCACGATGGCCTGTTGTATTAAAGAGAAAAATATTCAAATTGTCAAAAGGAGAGAAAAAAACTAGAAAAACTAAAAGTTTTGTTCCACTTCGGCCTCCAGATAAGCTGAAACAATACCCCCTATCAAGCTGGTGCCTCTGTCTCATCTTAACCTATTGATCTTCAGTCTCTGCTCTGAAGACAGAGGAGTCAGGTACCAAGGCACTTTTCCCTGGCTCCCAGTTCTATTAAAATGCCTGTAACTTCCCTAATGGACCCAGTGTTTTCATCTTCTTTAGCAGTAAACTCTCCTTATTCCTTAACCTAACTCATTCTATGGATGTTTAGTTCCTCACTAAGGAGCCTGCAAAAGCAACTCTGGCTAGAGGAGATAGACAAAACCCTACACAGCTTTCCCCAACCACACTGTAATCATAGCTCCACTGTAATCACAGGTCCCATGGCTCCCAGGGCTGATGGGTGGAGAACTTAGATAGAAGCATAGGCCTGACACCCTGAACCCCACCTCCAACTCACCATCCCTTGGTTATTCTGTCGCTCACTGGGCCTGTGGATCAGCAGTGGCTGGTCCTTTTCCTTTATTGTGATCCCATAGTTTTTGCTAGAGCCGAACAGAGGCAGGGGAAAAAGTCAGAAGCAGCATCACCACTCTTATGGCATCACAGTCAAAGTGTTAACCAGGACTGAGGTACACAATCTGCATTATACCCTTGTCAAGGATCCATCAGAAACTCACCATAGCATACACATAACTGGAAAAAGCAGGCTCAAGTTAACGTTGCAATTAAATAGAGGGGAAATAGGATAACAGTCCAGGAAAGAATTTGTTTAAAAACTGTATCAGGTTCAAGGGCTTAGGTAACTAGAAAGGCAAAATGATAGTCAAATGATTAATGACTTGAATTTAATCTCTCCAAAGAGACTTGTAACCAAAACAGCAAAGGAAACACAATTTGAAGCCCTGAGATTAACTTACGAAATAACTTCCAAAAAGTACTGAAAGAAATAAAGCTGTAAGGGTAGCAAATTCAGGTCAAATCCCACAAATGAGCTCATCAATCTTGGGTGCATTACCAATCCAATTATTTTTGAAGTGTCCTGCTGTGTGCCACTCCTGCTACAGAACAGGAGAATACAGCCCCAACCCGCAGGCCCAAGCCCAGTCTCTTCCCTCTACCTGTAGTATTCCAAGAATGTAATCTCCTTCCCATCAGACATCGTGAAGCTATCTTTTGGAGTCTTATTCCAATCCACATCATCAACACGATAGGTACGATTGTTGTATCGGGTTATGACAATACTGCCAACCAGAAGCTTAGTGCACTCGTCCTGGAAGTCTTCTTTGTGCTGTTGGTACATGGCATGCCTTTGGAAAGAGACAAAAGACCTTTGGATCATATGCAGTATACACAGAGCAGCATGAAAGGCACAGGGGATGCAAATAAGTACTTTAGAGTCACAATCGCAACTATATAGCACCAAAAGTTTCCAGCTGTCTCTTTTAAGAGATAGGATCCTCATCTCTTTCCTTTTTAACATTACCCGAAAAAGTGAAAGGATAGGGCTTCCCTGGTGGCGCAGTGGTTGAGAGGCTGCCTGCTGATGCAGGGGACACAGGTTCGTGCCCCGTTCTGGGAAGATCCCACATGCAGCAGAGCGGCTGGGCCCGTGAGCCATGGCCGCTGAGCCTGCGCGTCCAGAGCCTGTGCTCCACAACGGGAGAGGCCACAACAGTGAGAGGCCCGTGTACCGCAAAAAAAAAAAAGTGAAAGGATAAAAATGAAATTAAAAACAGCAACTATAAATTGATAAAATTCACTGTATTCCTTAAAATAAGGTACACTAATCATCAAAAATAATTTGTATCATTATTAGGAGATAGTCTACAGAAGAACAATAAAACATTCTTTAAACTATATTTGCCCTTTCTAGCTGAAGGAAGAAATTACAACTACCTATCAGAAGATACCACTGGTGAAGATGCTAAGTATGAAGAGATGAAAAGATTCACCACAGACAAAGGTACTCTCGAGCCAACCTCTGTAACAGTGCCATGAACAAGGTAACAACAGAAACTCACAGAAAGCATGTCTGAGCATGCACGGGGAGTCAAGGAAAGTTTACAGAGGCAGGTGATACTTGAAGGAGCAACCTGCCAGGCAGAGACACCACGGCAGCTGGTAAGTAACACCCTAGGCAGAAGCATAGGTATGCAGGGGACAATCAGGGATCTGGAACTGGGGCGAGCAAGGAGGTGAAAAAGGGTCAGAAGGTGGTCAGTGTAGGCTGAAGACAGACAGGGACCAGATATGAATTCCTTTGTGGGTCAGAGCATGGACTCTTCTATGGGCCAGTGTCAACTAGGGTACATCCCTCAGGAACACTGGTCCCTTGAGAGGTCCTGAGGGGGGTGAAAAAGGTTCTACAATCAAAAAAGTTGAGTCCATTCTGCATAATATAACCCCTTCTTAGAGGTTCACAACATACATTACCACATCAGGCTGATAAAATAGAGAAACATATTTAGTTTCATTTACCTACAAATTTATTGAACCACAGACTCCTTCCCTTTTCCCTTTTAGCTCACTGAACATCTATTACCATTGTAGGCAATTACTACAAATACTAATTGTAGGCAATTAGTAGGCAAATACTAATTGTAGGCAATTAGTATCCTGCAGAACTTGCTGCAGTAAGTGATGAAAAAACATCAGAATCTTGAAACAGTTCAACACTGACTCAGACCCTGGAGCCAAAGCCTGGGTTCAAATCTTGGCTCTGCCACTTAGCAGCACGTGAGACCCTGAGCAAGTTACTTAACCTCCTTGTGCCTCAGTTTCCTTGTGTGAAAGTGGAGTCAGAAAAAACCACCTAACTCACAGTGTTGCTGAGAGAACTCCATGACTTTATACATATAAAGCACTTACAACATAAAGTTGTTTTGAAATAAGGTTAGAGATTTTATCTCAGATAGTTTCATGAATTTTTGCTTCCTATTTGCACAGTTTTAGTCATCAATACATTTTATGCTTGTCTAACTCACTACTGTCTATTAAATGCATGCAACATTGTAGAAAAATTAATTAAAAGTATTTTTAATCAAAACCTTCAACTATGTTAATGGTTCCATAATACTATTTCACTAAGTGGAGGATACATTAATTCACTGGTTTTACTTTTTAAATAATAGTTCTATTGTTTCACTCTTAACAAATAATTCTGGGTGAACATCTTTTATAAAGATTCTTCTATACTTAAAATTGCTTCTTTGAGACAGATTTCCCATAAGTGAAATCACTAGATTAAAAGGTTAGAACTGGACTTCCCTGGTGGCACAGTGGTTAAGAATCCACCTGCCAGTGCAGGGGACACGGGTTCGAGCCCTGGTCCGGGAAGATCCCACATGCCACGGAGCAACTAAGCCCAGGCACCACAACGACTGAGCCTGTGCTCTAGAGCCCACAAGCCACAACTATTGAGCCTGCGTGCCACAACTACTGAAGCCCGAGCACCTAGAGCCTGTGCTCCACAACAAGAGAAGCCACCGCAATGAGAAGCCCACGCACCGCAACGGAGAGTAGCCCCTGCTCGCTGCAACCAGAGAAAGCCCGTGCACAGCAACGAAGACCCAATGTAGCCAAAAATAAATAAATAAATATTTTAAATATATATAAGATTAGAACTTTAAGATTCTTGTAATGAAAGCCTAGTGGCATTAAAACTTATCTTTTAAAAAATTTGTCTTACTTTCAAATAATTATAAAATCAAAGAAAGTTGTAAAATTCATACAGAGAACTTCATGTGTGGAATTGGCACTGGTTATAATATCATTAACTGGACTGCAGACCTTATTCCATCTTCACCATTTCTTCACACATTGACGTGTGTGTGTGTGTGTGTGTGTGTGTGTGTGTGTGTGTGTGTGTGGTTCTATGCAATTTTATCTCATTTATAGGTTTGTGTAGCTACCACCACAATCAGTCACAGAACTGTTCCATATCATCATAAAGGGAACTATCTCATGCTATCCCATCACTGTCACACTCCTTCCCCTTTCCTGTGCCCCAGAAGCCACAGATCTGTTTTCTACTATAGTTTTGTCATTTTGAGAATGCCATATAAATGGAACTTTATTATGCAACCCTTTGAGATTGACATTTTCCACTAAGCGTAATGCCCGGGGATCCATCCAGGTTGTTGTATCAATAGTGCATTTGTTTTTAATGCTGAGTAGTATTCCACTGTATGGAGGTACTAGAGTTTAACCGTTAACCTGCTGAAGGCCATTTTGGTTGTTTCCACTTTTTTGCTATTACAAATAAAAGCTGCTACGACCATCTATCTGTGTATCAGTTTTTGTGTGAACTTAAATTTTCATTTTTCTGGGAAAAATGCCCCAAGTGTGTGACTCTGGGGTCATATGGTTAAGTACATGCTTAGTTTTATAAGTATATGCTTAGCTTTATAAGAAACTGCCAAAAAATTCTCTGGCATAGCTGAACCATTTTACATTCCCACACAAAGTAAGTGAAGGACAGTTTCTCTACATCCTTACCAGTATTTGGTATTTTCACTAGTTTTTATTTTAGTTACTCTAATAGATGTATACTGGTATCTCACTGTAGTTATAATTTGCATTTCCCTAATGGCTAATAATGTTGAACACCTTTCCATGTACCTACTTACAAATCAGCTCTTTGGTAAAATGTCAGTTCATATCTTTTGCCCAATTTTTAATGGATCATTGTTTTTCTTTAATCTTTACTATGGTTTTGCTTTAAAAGTGTTCCATGTTGCTTATAAAATAAAAGTGTTACTATAAAAAAAACAGAAACTGAACATGGTTTGTAATCCATTCGTGAGAGACCCACTTTCCCTCAGCTTTTCTTAAATTTGTGAATACTAATAATTTCCCCCCGAAGTGTATAATCATACCAGATACACTGTTTTCCAACTTGATTTTTAACTTAATATAGTTTAGATAGTCCTCCATGTAAATACAAATACATAAGGTTCTTAAAACAAAGGACTACTTTTAAACAAATTGTTTTAGATCTCAAAGAACTGACATTTGCCAGTTTTGGTTTTGATTTATGAAGAGAATCTGGTACAGGCAGAACCTATGCATAGACCAATATAATAATGATCATAAGAAATTTAAAATTTAGGTGTAATAATGACATTATGGTTATGTTTTAAAGAGAGAGTCGATTTAGGAGATAAATACTGAAATATCTGTGAAAGAAATAAGATGTCCAGGATTGGCTTCAAAATAATTAAGTTTAGTGGGAAAAAGTGGTAGAAGACCACAAGAAACAGGTTGCTCATGAATTAATAATTGTTGAATGTGTAAAATAGGAATGAGGGGATTTATTATCCTATTCTATTTTTGAAAATGTTAAAAATTTTTCATAACTAAACTCTTAAACATAAAAAATATGAATCAAAAAGAAACAAACACAAAAAAATAAATTAAAAATATATAATAGTAATTAAAACATAAATACAAATACTGGAAAGAGGGAAAAATAAACTCAACACTAAGTTCCCTAATTCTAGAAAAGAAAAAAGCATCTATAAAATAAAAAATATTTTAACAGTAATTCTTATTTTTAATGATATTCAAAAGACTACTGAATTTATGAAAGGACAATAATTTGAAAGCAGTGGAGATTGCTTTAATGAAAAATAAAGCAGGGCTTCCCTGGTGGTGCAGTGGTTAAGAAACCACCTGCCAATGCAGGGGACCCGGGTTTGAGCCCTGGTCCAGGAAGATCCCACATGCCACGGAGCAACTAAGCCCGTGCACCACAACTACTGAGCCTGCGCTCAAGAGCCCACGAGCCACAACTACTGAGCCTATATGCCACAACTACTGAAGCCCGCATGCCTAGAGCCTGTGCTCCGCAACAAGAGAAGCCACCACAATGAGAAGCCTGTGCACTGCAACAAAGAGTAGCCCCTGCTCAACGCAACTAGAGAAAGCCCGCGCACAGCAACAAAGACCCAACGCAGCCAAAATAAATAAATTAATTTATAAAAAATAAATAAATAAAGCAAGAGTGCCAACCATTAGAAATTTTAGCAAAGGTAACAGAGGCAGCAAATCTTGGCCTAGAAAATCAAATTTATGAATTAAAAATTGGTCTTAAGAAGTTGTTTTAAGCAACCTAAATGTCCATCGACAGATAAATGGATAAAGACGATGTGGTACATATATACAATGGAATATTAGTCAGCCATTAAAAAGAATGAAATAATGCCATTTATGGCAACATGTATGGACCTGAAGATTATCATACTTAAGTGAAGTCCAACAGAAAGACAAATGTAAGATACCGCTTATATGCAGAATCTAAAAACAA